GCATCATGTCCGCCCGAAGCGAAGCCGGCGCCGCGGGTCGAGAGCTTGAATCTGCCAGTGCCAGGGGCCCGCGGCACACCAAGCTTTCTTTTCTACGCTGACCGGCATCTGCAGGCCAGAGTCGAGAGCGCTAGTCGTAACGCGAGTCAACCTTAGCACCAGGCCTTTACGGGGATTGCTGGCTAACCGTCGATCATTCTTACCCTTCATAAGATGATTCTACCCGCATGCCGTGATGACTTTTCTTGGTACCTTCTGTTCGAAGTCCTAATCTTACCTTCTTGTGATCCGTCTTTCGTTCCGGTCCAAGGTCCTTCAGTGTGTCGTCGTTATTGACCACCACTATCCACTCGCTCATCTCTTAATCCGACCATCAGAACAACTTTAATTCCGTAATTCGAACCGACCACATTCTTACAACATGCACTACTCCGCGGCTCTCGCTGCCGTTGCAGCTATCACTCCTCTCGTCAACGCCCATGGCGCCGGTCTGCCCAACATCATTGGCTTGAACCCGAGGGACCTCCGGGCCCGCGACCTACTTTCTCGCACTGGAGCTCGATTCACCGGAGTTAACGAGCTTCTGCAACCCAAGACTCAGGTCAAGAACAAGGTCGTGGCCCGTCAAGACGACCGCCAGTGTGGTGCGGGTGTCGGCAACTGTCCCGCCGGTCAGTGCTGCTCAGGTGCTGGCTACTGTGGCACAGAAGACGACTACTGCTACTCTCCTGGATGCGATTACGAGCACGGCTCTGGCTGCCCTGAGAACGCCACCCCAGGAGGTACCAACACCTCTTCCATCGCCCGTACCAAGGTCGGCAATGTCGAGTACGGTGGCGCTGGTATCTACGGCTGCACCACGCCCGGCACGGTTGCCATCACCTACGACGACGGCCCACAAAAGGTCTTCACCAGCCATATTCTCGATGTCATGGCTTCCTACAACGCCAAGGCTACTTTCTTCATCACTGGAAACAACATCAACAAGGGACAGATTGACATCACTCCCGAGTTCAGCAGTGTTCTTAAGCGCATGGACTCTGAGGGCCACCAGCTTGCTTCTCACACCTGGACCCACTTGGACCTGAGCGCCGTCTCCCAGCAGGACCGTTACAACCAGATGATCAAGAACGAGATGGCTCTTCGCAACATCGTCGGCAAGATCCCCACCTACATGCGTCCCCCGTACTCCAGCTGCACTGCTGAGTCAGGATGCGAGAAGGACATGGCTGACCTCGGTTACCACGTCACATACTTCAACCTTGATACCGTATGCACTTCCTAGATCTCTTGAAAGGGTTCAATTGCTGACACTAGAAACAGGATGATTACGAACACGACAGCACCACCCTCATCCAATACTCCAAGGATGTTTTCCTGGGCAACGTCACCAGCGGTCCCGCCGCCAGCAACCAGTGGCTCGAGATTGGTCACGATATCCATGAGCAGACTGCCATGAACCTGACCGAGTACATGCTCTCCACCCTCACTCAGCTCGGATACAAGGCCGTTACTGTTGGTGACTGCCTTGGTGACCCCAAGGAGAACTGGTACCGCACTGCTGGTGGTGCCGGCTCTGGCAACGCGCCCAACCCCGCCACTTCTGCCGGTGCTCCCGCTGCCACTGGAACCAAGCAGGTTACCCCCGATGCTACTTGCGGTGGTACCAAGGGATACACCTGCTTGGGGTCTACCTTCGGTAACTGCTGCAGCGCTGCCGGTTACTGCGGTACCACTTCGGCCTACTGCGGAACTGGCTGCCAATCTGGCTTCGGTAACTGCGGCAGCAACGGTGTTGCCCCTACCACCACCACCACTAAGGCTGCCACGCCTACCAAGGCTACTACCTCCAAGGCCCCCGTCGCTTCTGCCGCTGGCAAGGTCTCCACTGACGGCTCATGCGGCGGTACTTCTGGTTTCACCTGCGCTGGCTCATCCTTCGGTAACTGCTGCTCCCAGTACGGCTGGTGCGGAAGCACTACTGACCACTGCTCCACTGGCTGCAACTCCGCCTTCGGTACCTGCACTGGCACTGGAGCATCCGCCACTAAGCAGGCCGCTACCACAACCACCAAGGCCGCTGCTGCGCCCACCAAGAAGGCATCTACTGACGGATCCTGCGCTGGAACCTCTGGCTTCACATGCTCTGGCTCTTCTTTCGGAAACTGCTGCTCCCAGTACGGTTGGTGTGGAAGCACCACCGGTCACTGCGGTGCTGGCTGCCAGGGTACTTTCGGTACCTGCAACTAAGTTAACCAACTGGTGACTTTCCCTTTCTGTTCCGTTAGAAGTAATGCGCCCACATGAGGGCACGATCTGTACATTTGTATCAACATAGGGCGGCGTCAAGCCTATCAATGACATGACGAGGTCAAAAAAGGAGCGATTCCACGTCCATAACCGTGTTCTCACACAATGCAGCTTTTGTACTTTATGAGATCAAAACCATTGCACGAACCTGCATATCATGTGTTGCGAGTAGGCTGGGGACGAGGGGTAGATGTAGAGATTCGCATTATCGAAGCATGAAAAAGCACAAAAATGATCAATACACATTAAACATTCAGCATCTTTCATGGAGTCCCTCATTTGGCCATTTAAGACGAGCTTATCGCAAGATATGTAATAATGTCGGCTTACTGCCACATCACTGGTTCCTGCACCGAAGGCACTGAGAATATTTGAGCTGGCCAGCGATTTCATTGAGGAGCGAGTGTGTTTAAACTACCACCAAAGAGATACATGCAAGTCGCTCGTGAGAGCCGTCATCCCACTCTACACCAGACACTGCAGGTCTAATGTTGATGGACCATGTCCCTCCGAACACTCCATTCTCGTCCATTCCCCAACCCGAAATGGGCATCAGAATGTCAGGTATCATCGTTTACTCGGGGCAAAGGCCGTTCTCAGTCAAGAAGTCGCCGAGAGCATCGACGCACCCAGCGCAGCCGCAGAGCTGAGTCAAGTTAGTGGGAGTGGGTACTGGAAGGACAATGGGAGGAAATACCGAAGGAGCACCACCGGAAACACATGCAATGACTGCGGCAACGCCAGCGGGTCCGCCTGCAATACCTCCTGCAATGCAGAAAGCGGCACCGATAACAGCAGCGCAGTCGAAGATGCTGCAGTCGGCTTGCTGGGCAGCGAACTGAATGGCACTGGTCATCTGTTGGCTCTCGCGCTTGGCGATCTCGTTGGGAGCGGCGGCGGCGAGGCCAGCAAGGGCGGCGATGGTGATGGTGGAGAAACGCATGTTGATGGTTTGAGGAGGTGTTGAGCGAAAGGCTGGTAATGTAGTGAAGGTAATGATGTTGTGATGTTGAAGCTTGGTGAGTTCTTTCAGGTCGACTTCTGGCCGTCCTTTATACTTTCTCGTCCTCACATAGTCCTCTTTCTTTCTCCATCACCGCTGACATCGACCGGTCAACTCTCCCAGTCCTCTCGGACGCGCACAAAGTTATCACTGTCCCGAACTGGGTTACTGTCTCGGGGTTGAGAGCCTTCCTGAGGCTATGACCACATAATTGTCCGTCATTTTGCCCACTCAGCGTTCTGCGACTACTCACCGCAGAGCTTGACTGGCATTCATGAGGTGCACACGGTGTTTGTCGACTGGCAATGACGGTGGTGGTAAGCTGATCGCATAAGGGGTGGAGGAGTTCAGACGTCGAGACACAGAGACAGTGTTCTAAGCGATGACTATGTGCATGCAGCAACCGGCATATGATATTCGCAGAATGGAACTACCATGATGATTCGTCGTCGTGATGATCTCAAGCACCTTGGCGCGATCAATGTAGTGAAGATCGTCCTAGGTTACACGACAGTTAATATGGCTATAATACTAGGGCTGGCCCGGTCAGACAATTACTAACTTCTTCTCCAGTACATCGTATGTCTTACATAGGCCTGCGGGGGAGGCACTACTTGCCCCGAAACGATTGTGGCTGGGGAATCAGCTACCGAAAGCGGCCGCAGTAAGGTTGACCGCACATGCTGGCTGACCACTGATCGAAGCCATTTGCCGGCACCAGGCGGTCAAAAGAAGATGAGCTGCTTAGTTATCTTGGCTCTCATGCAGCCAGCACTTACATGCAGCCAGCACCTACCTAGGTAGGTACCCGCAGCGCCTTCAGCCTCTGCCGTGGCTCTAATTCGAATGCCGATCCCATCAAGACAGACTATATCGTCGCGTTGTTTCTGCAGAGTGCTCGTATAGAATGCGATTTCGCTGTTGGTAGCTTTCTATTAGTAGAGTGGAAGGTAAATCCTTTCTTGGATCGACATTCACGTTGCATGTCTTGAACGAAGGTGCCAGGCTACGTTATCTTATTCTCGGCCTAGATCTCGGTGAGCACGTAAGGGAAGAGGCGTGTAGATCTATCTTAACAATTAGTGGAGAATGACAAGTCCCGATGTCACCTCGGCATGCGGTAGAGCGGGCAGTCTCTACCTAGTCTTTGAGTAGTTAGAACTACTGTACCACCTCATACAAGGGAAAAACTGAACACCCTAGAGGCTACATCAAGAAGAAAACCTACAAAATAGGTGGCCTAACGTCGATGTAGGCTCCAGACCTGTTCAGGTTTTCCCTAGGTTGATGTGGCACTCGCAGAACGAGCAGCCGCGCGTGTTCGGCTCGTCACGCACATGCTATAGTTCATTAGACTCCCGAGGTCTGTACCCTAGTCAACAAGGTGTAAGAAGCTGACTTCAAGCGCTTGGTCCACAAATAAGTAAGCAGATCGCATGCGAGAATACGAAAGCACACACCTTTCTTCTAGTCAGCATCTACCCAACGCGGCCGGATAGAGATGATCTCGGAAATTCAGAGATCTCAGCATCCAGAGAATACGGTCCTTCAACTGAGACGAGTGGCAACATCGCTATGCTAGAGCCCCACGATACAGCTATGCGCCCTTGATCCTCTTATGTTCAGCTGTATTTAAGTGGGTCTGCACGTGTAGAGCGATCTATGGACAAACCAGTCATAGTTTCAGTCACATATCGGCGAAATTGTCCTTTGTGGTGTCCATAACCCATCTTCCATTCCAATGCGCTTGTTCTGATGCGTTGAAGAACTTGTTTCGTGGGACCTCGAGGTGGACGGACGTGATGTTGTCACTCCACTCCTGGTACTTTGCCAACGCCAGTGCGCGAGCAGGAAACCCAGCATCTAGCTGCAAGAATACAGTAGACTTGTCGATGGCGTCGTAGAACCTGTTGCGGCATTTCAGGTCCACCTCCTTGCAATTAAGGCGGAGAGACCGGATGTCGCAAGAGGATACACCATTATTGCCGATAACCCAAAGGAAGAGTTCCATTGGAAGGTTTGGAAGTGATGCAGCAGGATGTGGCGATGAATCTGGCATTGCTCGATGATCGTAGCAGGGGAAGCCTACTGAAAGGATGACATTCAGTTTGCTCATGCGGTCTACGAGCATAGTGGTGATGGTTTTTGTGTTGTGCTTGGTGACGCAGATGAACTTTTCGACTCTGGATCTGCGTGGACCACTCAGCCGGACGGTCACCTCTTCCGATCGAACCCGAGACGTCAATAAATGGCCCTAGGCCAACCGGCTCTGCCCCCCGTAAGTAGACTTGCCTTACTTTATCAGCGCATGCTAATAGGAAGCGCAGGTTGACCCCCCGTTCCATCTCTCCACGGCCCTCCCTCGCACGCCAACCTAAGAAAAAACGAAACACACTGGGGTCTACGTTGACGTTGGGTCACCTACTTTGCAAGTTTTTGTCTTGATGTAGTCTGCAGACCTATTTGGCTTTTTCTTGTATGAGGTGCTCGTACAGACTGATCCGTGCATTGCCAGCCGACGAGCTCGGTGACGACTTGCTGGATGACGACTTGGACAACATCAACGCCCGCTGCAGAGTCGCTCACGGAGGGCGACAATATGAAAATCTTCAAGTATCAGCTCGATGATCATGCGGTCCATGTAGGGACTGTATACTTCCACCAGGCCAGCCGTTACACTCCCAAGCCTCCCGCTCTCGACGTCGAGGACTTTCATCTCACTCACCTAAACCACCCCATGGTCATCCGTGACACTGAGAACCCCATCGAGGAAGTCGCTCAGGATGTTTACGCGCGCTTCCCCTTCTCTGATGACTGTGAACGGGCTATTGGAGGGACCGCCACCGATGCACCTCTCATCGTCCTCTACACCTCGATCTCCAATGTCACTCATCTTCCCGAGTACCGCGATGCGTACACCATCGAAGGAAAGCAGTTCCAAGGCATGGACATATTAGACTGGGATGTGGTTTCGTTCCTGTCATCATACAGAAGGGATGAGTCCGAGACAGTCCAAGAAGTCTATCGAACAATTTACCGAGAGCTCAGGGCCCTCAGGGTTTATGCATTCTAGGAATCGGTGCTGGGTGATGCTGGGTGGTGCTAGGGTTGGTACTGGAGAGATGGTCATCATCATCTCCTCCGAACTCCATCCCCTCTACTCGCCTGGCCATCTGTTGGCTGCGCCCCGACATATCCTCTTGCAGTGTCTTGCGCAATTTGTCTTTCGCGTGTTGAGTAATACCCCTCCGCTCGTATTTGCGCAGGATGAGGTGCTCTTCGAGCTTCTTCCTTATCTCCACCAGATCAGGCTGGGTGGCACTGTCTGTCAGCGCTCTGTACCTTACGACGTTCTTGGCTGTTGTCTGGTATGGTTCGTCGTGGGGGAGGTGGCCGTGGGCTTGAAGCGTCTCGTGCGTTTGTTCGAGGATGTTGTGGAGTTCGGCTTCGATCCTCTCGTACTGTGGGTCTGATGTGATGAGCTGGCGTGCACGTGCGTCGATCTCCTCTCTTAGCGACCGGCCTGATGATTCTGCTGATGCGTTCCTACTCCACTGCAGGCCCACGAGATCGGTAAACGTCATCTGCACGCGAGAAGGCCGAACAGGCAGGAGGAAACACAAAGGATAAGTACTCACCAGTCTGTTCGACGGCGAAAAGAACTTGCGAATCGACGCGCTCGTGAGCCCCACACCGCCCAGTCTAAAGGAGGTTACGTCTCGCCTCCCAAAACCGTGGTGGTTGTAGTTGAGCACCGTGGTTAGGTTGGTGGGGGCATGATCGAGCAGTGCCATGGCCGCTTCAGTCGAGTGCATACTCTTGGCTTCTTGTGCAGCTTGTCGTCTGAACGCGTTCATTGAGACGTAACAGAGAATGCCGATAGAGAGGCAAAACTGCTGAAGCTTCCTGGTAAGGGCCTTTGATCGCATCTCCTGTTCGACGATGAGCTCACACTCGGTAGTTGCCGCAACGAGTACAGCCTGCTTGGCCACTTTCGGCCTGGTTGCGGGAAATCGATCTGCATCCTTGCTGAGAAGGACATCGAGGTGGTCTACAAACAATCCGCGAGTATACGCTATGAAATGTCAGCGTATGAATCTGGTTTCTCGGCGTCCACGCCTTACCTTTAGCAAAGAGGAGCGCGCTCAAGTCGAGGTGGAGCCGTTCCTGTTTGGGGGCGAAGAAGAATCGGCGCGCACCTTGCTCGTTCCTCTGGTCATGCGGATCGTTGCTTCCCTTGAGATAGTGGAAGGTGACAACACAGCAATATTCCTAGTCGAACCTTTCGAACTTGAGGTCTGACCACCTCAATGTATGAGATTTGGCGCGGGTGGGCATGGACGCGCTTATTGCACCTCCGAGCGGCGCACCTTTGTGGCAGCCTTTCCCAACAGTGATGCTGCCAGGTCGCGCAGACGTGATGTATGAGAGTACCCACGCTATATAATGCTGCTTGGTATTGAGGACACCTTCATGTAGCGACATTACCTCTGCGAAGAGAAGGCCCAGCTCAAATTCTCCCAATTCATTCTTTTCACGGTGCTGTGTCGAAAGATCCTGCTCAACTGCTACCATGTGGACATGCCTCAGCACTCGAGTGCGATACTCACGTTCGATGGTTGCGAAGTTGGGAGTGTGGGTATCGATCCAGTACTGAAGCGCGTACTTATGACCGTAAAACGTCCTGGCCTGGAAGAAGTCAGTCACTGTCCAACGTGGGGATATAGATAATACATGCCTTGATCTTCTCTGATAGTGCGCCTTCCGAAACGGTCGCCATGCACTCCAGGAAACCACAAATGTAATCAATAAGGGTCTCGCGGGCGTACATTATCGGTTCGTCGTCGATATCCTAAACAGTACTCGAAAAAGTTGCTCCGCGCGAGTTTGCGATGGTCAATGGTTGTAGGCGCTGATTTATCATAAAATCTGGATCTCTTGGCGGTGATTCTGAGCTCTTCCTTGCGCTCGTTGGTCAGTCCAGCCAGTCGTCATGCCATGCGTGAGGAGGGCGGCGCAGGTGGTGGTAGCGTCGCCATAGCGTTCTACTGCCCAGGTAGACTGCGGAGGTTGGAGGGATGGTAGAGGTCTTGGGGGGTTGATTCGCGGAGGGGTATCTTCTAAACCAATCAATGTTTCGGGCGGGTGAGAGGCCTGCTTGGGCAGGTGCTGTTCGTTGATGATGGGCGTGGGACGCCGGGGGGCTATTGCGTGAGGATAACTTTGACCAGTACTGCGTCGGGCTGTTGGGACGCTTACGTGTGTCGGTGCTGTTGGAGGAGAAGGGTAGGACACTGAGAAACTAATGAAAGCGACTGCAAGGGACCAGCGGTGAAAAATGGTGAGTGCACATGCAGTGTTTGGGTAGGTGAGGTTTGCTTGGCGCGTGGGTTGGGAAGGTGCAACGCACCACATCCTATCTCACCTCGCGGCATCTGGTCCCTCTTCGCTTCTTCTCTGTCAATCTTCGTCCGCTTCCTACCATATACTCGGTCCTTCTGCTTTATGTCTGCCAGTCGTTTTCGCCGCGTCCATTCGCTTCTTCCCTTCTACTGATCCTTACCCGCGTTGCGTCCATTTCCTTATTGCATTTTGCCCGCTTTCCACTTGCTGATGCTTAGCTGCGCCGCCTGAAGTTTGCGTATCGCATCTGGCATTACTTCGCTGGATCGGTACTTCACTATCCTGCGTCCACTTTGAAAAGATGGTGAACAACGAGGCGCTCGAGCGCAGCGGCGATGACATCAACCGGAAACTCACAGGCTTCAATACGCTGGCGACCAAGGACGATATGAAGCAATTCCTCGTTGAACTGAACGCCACCATCCCCAGGTTCAAGGACCAGGTACGGCTGACTGGGAGCAAACCCGAGCTAAAGAGCCGGTATCGCGAGTACCTCGAAAGGGTATGATCTTGCATCGCTGCATCTACTCCTCGTCCGCTAACTGACCTTCCTTGCAGTCCGCCGAGTTGCCTGTAACGAACACTCCTACAACACCCTCAGCAGGGCGCCCGGCAGCGGCGCCACCGTCAGCGGCACCAAAGCGCGTGAAGCGTGCAAAGCAAGCAGGAGAGGGCAGAGAGATCGGCGACAAGACCAGCGATGATACCGAAGCAGCACAGCGAACGGCTACAAAGCGCGTGAGGCGTGCCACGCGAACGGAAGAGAGCGAAGAGGTTGGCGACAAGACCATTGACGATACCCAAGACACGATGCCAAGTATGCTCTCGCGTCTCTTCGTGGCAGACGGGGCGCAGCTGTCAACACCTACACTGACCTGCCTCGACGCTCTAGGATCTCCGCTGAGTGCCGTCGCAGCGCAGAAGCCTGAGAACGAAGATTTGTCGAGCAGACTTTGGCCGCTGGTCGACCCCATATCCACTCTCATCTCGGCTCGAGATTCTATCATCCCAATGCACAGCTACCTCGATAACTTCGGTCGGTTAGCTGCTGCAATTCGCAAACTTCCGGTCACTGCCCCAGCCTGCTTCAGCTCATTCCTCACTAGCATACACTTTACGGTCGTCGTGGACCGCGGAGACGCAGGAGATACGTTGGCCGTGTCAGAAAAAGAGCCGGAAGACACGAGTCTAGAAGAGGCAGCAGTCATGGCCGAGGTGGGTATCCTGTCGAACGAAGTGAACCGCGCCTTGAGCAGGTGGAGTTCATCCTTCCCTTCGCCGCCCTCCGATTCGATGATATATCCGGTGGACTTCAACCAGACAGAGAGGACGGAACTCAGAGCCTTCGCCAGGCAGTACATCACGAGGAATTCCCATCTCAGCAAGCTGGGTGTAGTAAGAGAGGTCTTACTTGCTACCAGTAAAGACTTTCGGGCAACCTGGCCGATCGGACGAGGGGGGACGTTGACGACAGCGATCAACCTGTTGGTCGAGGCAAGGAAGAACGTCAATTTTGTCAAGGGCAAGTCTCCGTCTGCCAAGAGTCCCAACCGCGAGGTGGGTGAGAAGGAGGAATAGGGCAAGAAGACGGACAAGCCGAAGGCGCAAAGACAGGTGCCAGTGGTGACCGAGGACGACGAGGAGGAATACGAGGATGAGGAGAAGCCGGGAACGCGAAGACGGGGGCCAGTGGTGGTCGAGGAGGATGACGAGGCGGATTATGAGAGTTAATTTGCTGTTGCTGGGGGGTAGTTAGTCAGCCACACTTTAAGCTTACGCGTCTACAATACAAGCATTGAACTGAGGATATAGCGTACTATCAGCCTGACTATGCTTTCCGAGAGCCGGTCGTGAGTTTTGCAAGATATATCGTTGTAGTTCGTAATTATTGTACCTCGTCTTAATGTCACGATAGGAACAGGCCATCTGCAGCAATGAAGCGGGAAAAGAGGGTTGATAATCGACTTTAACCTTGGTAACGGGTATTGTTTCGTGAGCTTCACAACGTTAGCTAAAATTACTTCGGAAGTGCTCTACCCTAATTCTAGATATAAAAGGTTCAAGACTATGCCGTTAGAAGATGTAAAAAGATGTGGTAGATCTAGCCGCAGGCTGCCAGATCGAATTAGGTGTTAAACGACCTCTCAGGCTCAAGCGCGGAAGATAGAAAACGCATTCTGGAGCCTGGTGAGCAAAAAGAACGACTAAGGGCGAAGAGTGGGCTGCTGTGAAGATTATCTTGCAAAAAAGAAACAGAGCACACGGAGTCTCGAACTCAGGTTCTGCGCACGTGCCTTCTACCAGAATTGAACTAGCGACCTCGTCATCACGTGACGTCCCTTTCGGGACAAGCTCGACTCGATTTGAGTCTTGCGTTACTAGTGACGCGCTCTACCACTGAGCTAAGAAGGCTTTGATGTGATTTGATGAAGCATTGGCAGTTTAACCTCAATATATACGAGGACATTAAAGATCATAGAATGCAGACAGTGTTCTTTCCTTCAAACAGACCCGCTTGGAAGACCAGACCCACAGCAGCCGCACTCGCTTAGCTTTAGATGTGGAAGTCGCATACTTCGGCAGGAGGCAGGTGCGAATTAGTCTTTCTGCTGAGCAGAGCCATGGGCGTGAGATGTAGCAGATTAAGGTTGCCTGTCTCGTCGCGCACCCTATGCGTCAAGCGTCGCGCTTTGTTGTTCTCTAGGCACGTTTGACAAAGGAGGAACACGCTAGCTCTCACTCCGGGCTACTGCTGGTAGCTTCATTTCACGATAGCCATAGTCGGAGTTACTTTACAGCAGCGGATAGATACCCTTGCTACGTTTACTCGCTCGCGAAGAGAGTCGCGTTGGATCAGCGTCGTGCTGTCTTTGTCGACTGAGACGCGATCGCAGTTTCAGTGTCAGCGCGCGTGGCAGCGAACGACATCAACACGATCGCATCAGCGACGCAAGCGCATGACATTAGCAAGACATGCAGACATGATGTAAATGAAAGCACGGGGTGGATCTCCGAGTGTTGTGTGGAGGTGGATCTGGGGCGGGTGACCAGTTAAGCGCAAGCTCATTCACATGCCACCGCGAGCCCGCCAAGGCACCAAATTAAGAAGCTGGCGATTGAGCCTCTCCCGCTGATCGCGTTCCTTTCTGCCAAAACCCCTTCAAACACGACTTCTCCCAACACCGCGACACTTCCACTCGACAGATTTACTGCCAGGCTCCGAATCCTGGCTTCGACCATTACCATTCCCAATATTCTACTACAACCATCTATGGGCTCTGCTTCCTTCGCCGCGACCGCTTTCCTACCCACCGCTCAGCTTACCGCAGTTGGCTCCTTCTTCCCCTACAACGCACTGAGCTCAGGCCTGAACAAGACGGACGCCTCCTTCGCATCGCTGGTCCGGCTAGGGGTAGGAGTTCCGCCGTGAATCCTCGCGGCGGACTGTAATATTGGTTTGCCCAAGACCGGCGTTGGATGTGCGCGGACTCCTCTCCAAAGCGTGCGCAAATGCTGACTTGAGCAGAATACGGGCGCAGCTTAGAGAGTGACAACTCTTAATCGCAATACCCCTCATTACCGTTACCATGGTTTTCGCGTTCGACCAGAACGATGCCCAACTTCCGGCCAACGCGCCGCGAAACCCTGAGCCTGCCATGCCCGAAGACGACATGTTCGCTTCAGGGCCCATGGACATGAGCCCGCCCAAAGCGCCCCTCCACGTAGGAACCCCGCCGATCAACATCGTCAGCCCTATGCCACAGCGCGGAGTGCAGCCCGGCCCCGAAGCCAAGCAGCAGGGACCAGACAAATTGGATTTTGACGCCGTATTCAAGAAGGCTCAGAAGAACAAGAAGAAGAAAAAGAAGGGTCTGAAAGCAGGACTACAAGCTACAAGCGTCACCCGGGGCTTTCACACTCCAGTTACGTCTGGTGGGGAGGAGTCAGACTACTCTCTGGCCACTACACCGCGCTTCGGACCTGTGCGCTCTGGACTTCCCAGCGTCACCAGCAGCCCAGCGCTTAGACCCCAGTCCACTGCGGGAGGCATCAGCAACCTCAAAGCCCAGCTGGAGGCGCTGAACCTAGGCCCAAGGAGCGACTCACCCATGAAGGATTCCCCAGGAAAGGGTGTCGCTATGAGCAGGGTCACCTCGCAGTTGTCAAGCAAC